TGGGCCGTCATCAGCCCTTCCAGTCCGAACGGAAGCTGCTCGTAGTAACTGGCCACAAGGTTCCAGGAGATGGTTCTGTGGGGGAGGGGAGGAACAAAGCTGCAGTGTAGTGCCTTAGCAGAGTGAAGGTGGATTACAGAGCAACAAGAACACAATTCTCTGTAGAAGATTCCGGGCTGCTCGATACTTCACTGCTGTCTATGACCCCAATGTGGAGCTCTCCCCCAAATCCAGTACCGAGGCTGGAATTTCAACTTCTGTTGTCACCACCCTGAGCTCTACCTACATTTCTAGGAGTCCAGTGGAGGATGTAGATGATAAAATCCTAAATGACCACCACTAGATCAGGGTGGGCAACTCCGGCCCTCCAGCTGACGTGGAACTACAAGTCTCATGAGGCATTGCAAGACTGACCATTACAAGAGGACTCCCAGAGGCTAAGGCATGTTGGGATTTGTAGTTAAAAGGAGAATTATGAGGTGAGTGAAAAATCACCTATCCTCATAGTTCTAGCCGACCTGTGACAATGAGACTGTCACACGTCTGTTCAATAGATCGGAAAGTGAGCGAACACATACCGGCGCTCGCTCACCTCTCGATCCTGTCCCTGCAGAGAGCTGTGACTGTGACTCAAGGCTCACTTCAGGGATTCCCCCTTCCCGCTCCGATCCTCCAGCGCTGACCGGCGGAATGGACCGGGAAGGGGCGGGCACAGTTGTCTCTGCCTCTAGATAGGCAGAGCCAGCTGTCACTCACGCAGCCGGGTGGATCTGGACAGTAATTGTCGGGATCTCTCCCGGCTGCGGCGTCTCAGTATACTGCGAGCTGCAGCTCCCTATATACTGAGCCTAGGGTGACAGGAGGACGCTAGTTTTTGTCCTCCCGTTACCCTAAGGAGAACTATGGGGTAAAGCACTGACCCCATAATTCTCCTTTAAAGCACAGCTGGAGGGCCGGAGTTGCCCACCCCTGCCCTAGTAGATCCTCTAAAGTAATCCACAGGGAATGCAAGGGCCGGTGACACCATTGCAGGGCTGTAGCTACCATGGGGCGAGTGAGGCACTCGCCTCAAGCGCAGCTGAGAAGGGGCGTAGCCAGGGCCAGCCTGCCTGTGCCCCCTCGCACCTGTTGCCATGGCGAGCACAGGGCGCCATACATCCAACAGCTTCTCCTCGCATTCCACGCTGTATGGGCAGAGGACTGTGTCCTCAATCTCTTGTTCGATTTCAAAAGGGAAATGTCAGGGGTCTGTTTAGATCCCTGACATTTCCCTCAAAGCCCCCAGAACCCGC